TACCTAATTTGCACCAAGAATTCTTAAAATAATATTTGAAAGCCAAATGCATGAATGCATGAGACTTATTTCCAGTATTCAGGATTCACGCTCCATGCATGAACAGGTGTCGGGATACTGGACAGAGGTGAGTTTGGCATCCTCAGCATTCAGAAAGGACTTCCAGATGCTGTGGCTCTAACTCAACCCACCAAGGAGCTGTGGGTGCCAGACCTGGGACAAGAGACTTTTAGAGGAGTTTTTAGGCATATCTCCAACACCAGCCTTTCAACAGTAGGACTGTTTAAACAGCCACACATGCTCTGTGATGGTGTTGTGTTAGACTATTTAGCTGTGTAAAGATCGTAGAGCCTTCTACCCTCTAGGCTATATGGTACATGTGTAGTGTAGTCTATGGCCATGATGAACAAATCCATGAACAATGGGATTAATATGGTCCATGAGCAAACGAGGCAATGATGAGTAGTAAATGTGAGATGTATAAAGGACTGCCATCATGGATGTGGTCCATTATCCACTGAAACCTTATTGGGCAATAACTGCCTGTACTTAACTCCAAGGCATGAACCTTGCTTATGTGTATCTGGTTGTTACAAATGAAGTTAGCATTTCAAAGGGCTCAGGGTCTGGCTTCTTTTAGCATCTTTGTGTTTGTTTGCCCATGATAAAGTAGTCTAGTACAAAATACATTTTTTTTTACGTATCTGGAATCAGGTATGAAAAATAACTACATGGTATTGGGAGATGAGATAAAATAGAGATATGCTAAACAAAAGGCATAACTTAATTTCCCATTTGCCCTATTTTTTGTAAAATTGTGTTGTGTAAAATATCAAAATTTTTCCTGCATTGGCAACCAAGACTAAAGGAAAAACAATGAAAGCAATGAACCTGGTTAAATGATCACTATTCAGAAGGCCAGGGTGCTGACGCCACTTCCTAAAATAAGCGTATTTTAGGGTTTTCCCCCAGCATCACCGTTTTCACTGCAGTTAAGCTACTGCTATTAATACTCTCACAGACTCCCCGTCTCTGCCTTTGTCTGAGACAAATCTGAGTCTCCAGAATTCCAAGAGCCTCTCATCACTGTAACTTAAGAGGAAAGAGGGAAACTCAACTCTATGGTTAGATGACGTCCGGAAATACTCTTAGCCTCTGGTTTTGTGGAAGCTGGTTTCTTTTTCTTGGGTTTTGGTGAGGATATAATCTCAGTTCCATTAGAGAGGGTGCTCACAAAGACAGCTGTCAAATCCCCACATCAATCCTCTTCTGAATTGCCAAAGGTTGACATGTCTCCAAGTTTGTCTCAAAAAAACTTTATTAGCAATGAGGAATTAAATTTCCTATGTAGACAAATTAGCTCCTAAGCTATAAGGGAAACAAACACCACAGAGAGGGGTAGGGGGGAGCCCTCTCATTCCAGCCTGAAGCTTTCTCAGAAAGCATCTCTCCTCTGCTTCCTCAGTTTCTCCTACTCCTGCTGGCACATGCCACCTGGCTAGTGCGTACTCTGAAGGGGAGATTTCGTCTGCAACTCTGAAAGCTACCTTAATACCACCATGAAAGGAGAAGTACAATACAGGTGATTGCTGGAAAATGCTTAAAACTATTCTTGAAAAGTAGGAGAAATTGGTAGGGTGAGCTGAAAACTTGGTTTTGTTTTAAGTAAAAGAGGCTTCTTTAAATAGACAAAATGATATGAATTGGCTTGGAGTAAATTAATATAGCAGGGAAGGAAAGTGAAGAAATCTGTTTTGTAAAGAAGCCAGCTTCATGGCCTTCTATGTTAAGTTCTATGTATCGGAATGTGTGTCACACAGATTTCCAAGTCTGGTCCTTACTTCTGAAGTTGGTAACTTTATACACACACAGTTCCAGTCACACAAGAAGTGATGAAATAGAAGTTTAAATTTTATTCAAACATAAATATGCCCCCATGCTCACTTTATTTATCTTAATGGGTCAGAACAATGAGGCAGAGGCCAAGACTGGAAACCAGGTGAAGTTTCTCCATAAGCGGAGAAGCTAAAGCACCCTGCCCCATGGCAGAGGCAGGGCTGTGTCCACAGGACTCTGCCCTTTACAGAGGATCGGATGCCTACCTCACAGCAGGTGTTCCCTTAGTCTTTATAATTCAGGAGTTTCTTTTCAGGTTTGTTTTATTTTTGTGTATGGATATTTTGCCCGCACACATGCGTGTGCACATCCATATTCATGGCTGGTGCCTATGAAGCTCAGAAAGAGGGCATTGCATTCTCTGAAGCTGGAATCATGGAGACTAGTTAGCCACTCTGTGGATGCTGGGAACCAAAACCAGGTCCTCTGCAAAGCTAACAAGTGCTCTTAACTGCTGAGCCATCTCTCCAACCCCATTTCTTAAGTATGAGGAAAACTACAGTTCCTTCTGATTTTAGCATTTTATAGTTTGACAATTTCATAACCAGAAATGTTCCAGCAGAAACTGAGCTTTGAATATTTATGCTTCAAACAAGCTTAGAAAGGCTTTTGGTGGAGGGTGAGGGTGGGGGAAATCTCTGATCTTTAAAAAAAAAATAAACCAACAGTTTCTCTTCAAACACTATTATCCTAGAACACAAACAAACAAACCAACAATAAAAAACAAATGCATTATGTTCATAGAGAATTCTATTCTGATTAAGATATTGATTTGGTTGACTGCGTCATGGCTCAGCAGTTCAGAGGGCCTGCTGTATTTGCAAAGGACCAGAGTTTGATGCCCAGCACTGAGTTTGGGCAGCTCCACGTGTTAGGAGAGTTCAAAGCCTCTGACCTACTTGACAACTGCACACATGCATACCCCTCCCACATACACATACCCCTCCCACATACACATACCCCTCCCACATACACATACCCCTCCCACATACACATACCCCTCCCACATACACATACCCCCCCCACATACACATAACTAAAAATAATAAAAATCTAGAAGCCACTGCTCTGGGAGAGGAAGGTTTGAGACGACGTCTCCTCTTTCCTTCTCACAGGTCCTAGCTGTAGAAAAAGATACTTTGTAGCATCTTTTTTCCTTCCATTAAGTGATGTTGGGAAATTCCTGTGTTAGGCTAATTTGCCGTGAAAACTATAAAGCCCTTGAATGGGATATCCAGAGCCCCTGGGATTTTTTTTTTTTTTTAAAAATAGACACCATGTGGTGCTATCTGCTACCATTGGACGGGTGGCTCTGCAAGGGCCAGGAATAAAGTCCTCTGTGGGGATTTGTCAAGTATTAGCCAAAATGGGGAGATAGTTCAGCTGCAGCTTTTAAACACCTTCTCTTAGTGTTTTTAGATTATCTTTAAAAAAACATGCAAACCAAACTGGCCAGTCAGTCAGGGTAGGAGAAACAAAATAGAGCCCTTCTGAGAGGGCGAAGCTGCCACTCATTTTGTATTTTAATTCAACCTACTGGTGATTAAATTTACAGATCTCAGAGGAAGTGTGTGCTCAAATATTTGAGGACGGTAACATATCAACCACTGTTTTAATTTTGGAATGTTCCTACTTACTTGACACAATATTTTACTAGCTAACAAATGTTTAGTCTTTTTTTTCACTTGACTGAAGAGAAATAAGTTTCACGTTGCTTCATTCACCTTCTTATGTGCATATGCTGGGAGACTGGATGGTAAAAAAAAACCTTCCTCCTGCTCCTTCCTGCATCTAAATCTGTTTACCAGTTTGGAACTGCTAAGAAACCTGCATTTTGCTGCTAAATCAACTGGATGGCTGGAGCCCAAACTGCAATGTAACAGAAAAATTATCAATTTGTTTTCATGACAGTCTTGAGAACATATAAAATTGTCTGGCCGCTAAGTCAGCCTTCCTCTTTTCTCCTCCTCCATCTCCTCTTAAAGACGCCTTCAGCTCTAAGCTGGTACTTCTTCTAGCTATGTAACAGCTCTAATATTGTGTGACATTTTGTATTGTGACACTATAGATGGAATTGTCAGCGGACTGACACCCTGTGCTGCTTATTCCTTAATTACAACTGTTCACACTGCCGAGACGTGCGCTAATCTGCCAGCACATATTATGAAAACAATGTTATTGTTACCCACACCAACACCCACTCAACAGGACATTTCCAAGACGGCAATGAACAGGGACGTGTTGCATGGCAGATGCGTCACTGGCTTTTTGTTGACGTGGGGCTTGTCTGAGTTTTAACTTACCTGAGTCTTCTTTTAAAAATACAAATGACCTGGGTGGGGGCTCAGACCTGTAATCCCAGTGCTTAGAAGCTGAAGCAGGAGGATTGCTGTGACTTCAAGACCAGCGTGGGTTATTGCATGAAACTTGGTCTTACAGGCAACACAAAACACAAGGAAGAAGAATCTCTTAAACAGCACAACAAAACCACAAGTTTGCAGTTCAGAGCAGTTCACTGCAATACGGCGCAGGCAGCCGCCCCAGAAGCCGCCTCCACAGTTGGAGTACCAAGCCTTGTTTCCTTGTCCAGTGCTCAGCAAGCAGTGGTGAACCAAAGAGCCTCGGAGCTGTTCTGCTGGGGGCTGTGACCCACAGCTTTCTGAGTCTATTCTTTATTGACTTTTAAGCTTTAGAGATAAAGTTAACAGAAAGAAGGTGGGGAGAGGAGAAGTAGAAAGAGAACTGAGGGCGAGTTGTTGGTTTTTACAAGGTTGGCGTCCTCAAGTCCGTCAGAACTCAGTGGTCACTTCCAGCACTCATAGGTCTTTTTCAAGACCATACCGAGCTGAAACTGCCTACATACTGAATCCTTTGTAGTTCCAATCTCAGAAGTCTGTCGGAGGCACCCAGACCTGAGGATCCACTTTCTGACGAGTCTTGGACAAGAGCAGCTAAACAAGGTGACTTTTATCATGACGCTCAGCACCTTGCTTCTGCTCCTCTGGAGGGAATAAGCGAAGACAACCACACAAGGGTATACGGAATGCTCTCAACACACATGACACTGACTTAATACCATCCTTAACAAATATTCTGTCTTAGCGTGAGATTTTAACACTTTTATTGGCAAATCTACGGCCCTGTGACAGTCCGACCTGAGACTTTTCGGTGGGGTCTCAGACTGACGTGGCACTGGAACAAAACAAAGCACACTTATTCCCTGAGGTTCCCGCCAGGACTTACATAGTTTTGTCACGTAGTTGGTTTTGATTTTGTTTTAGTTTTCTGAGTTACACATGAGGTTACCGCTGTGCCTCATTTTGAATGGTGTTTCCTGCCTCATTTTGGTTTTCACTACCAGTCGGGTATGGGGCTCTTCCCAAAAGGAACTGTTCCCATTTGGGGACATGTTCTTCTACTGATGCCCAGTAACGAGTCTGGAAAATAAAAAGAAACAAACAAAAAACTACACACAAAACAAAACTAAAGTGAGAAAGCATAGCAAGCAGTTGAATTTAGCTCTTCGCAATTATCTTCAGTGTGTTTGTGTGTGTGTGTACACATGTACACTCCCAACACACATATATGTATAGTATATTTCCTCTACAGAACATTTTTATGCTAATTTTAGGGGGGGGGAAACTCGGTATTTACTAAGTGTTAATTTTCAAATTCTCGGCAGAAGGAAGGTTTTCAATGTTATTGTGATTTTGCACGCCCTCTTGTGGCCAGCTGTGTGATTATTAACAGTGCTGTCATTTGCGGCACCTGTTATTAAATATTCCTGTTTTCTAGTCTAGATTCTGTAGCCTGGACCGCCCATACGGAAATGACCACAGAAGATTATACACAAACAACTTCCTCAGAATAAACAGATGATGTGATCTGGACCCAGGAACAGGAATGTGACTGAATGTAAGAAGCTGGTAAGCTGGCTCCTCAGGTGAGTGGGATGTTATGTAACCTACCTAGCTTTAAAAAAAAAAAAAATACTTGATATGACACATTCTCATTTTTCTTAAACTTGTGTATGAATGTGGCATACATGTGTGGTGCATGTGCACATGTATATGCACACAAGCCCATGAAAACAAGGAGATTGGGAGGCCTCTGTCATTCTCTGCCTCCTTGTTCCTTTGACACAGTGCCTCTCTGAGCCTGGACCTGGCCTGGCAGCCAGCTAACCCCCAGTGGTGATCCTCTTCCATCTCACTCCACAGCTCTGGGGTGAGAGGCATGAGTTTTAAGTGGGAGCTGGGGTGCAAACTCAGGTCCTCATGCTTCTGCAGCAAATGCTCTTACCTGCCGCATCATCTCTCCAGCTCTTCAGACTTTTAGCTGAGAAAAGAACTACCATAGTGCACCCATTTGGAAATGATTTGCAAGCAGAGATGCTGTTTATGTCTGACTATGGTCTACAGGCTGCAGAAATCCAAGCAGTGCTGCTACACTGTGTGGAGGAACTTTGATGAGCTGGGAACGGCAGCCGAGGAGGCCAAGGTTTGCACACAGGATGGCAATTTCTATTGGATCAACACGATCAGTTCTGGGGCTGATTCTGTGCTGAGTCAGATAGCGCTAGGAACACATACAGTGGCTCTGCTGTTGGAAGATGGTGTGAGAGACTCTAAATATCTATACATCTGTGCATGTGGCCTGAGAAACAGCCTGACATGCATAAGATAAAGGTCATCCTGCTGTGCCAGAGCAGCTCAGAATACCATCCAAGGCCAGAGACAGGGGGCTTCTGCGCCATTCACGGCTGAATTAACCACTATTGTCAGGGCCCTGTATGTGCTAAAAATAAGGCATTGGTGAATTCAACAAAGGAGGACATACCCAGTGCACAACTCTGTGCCAGAGTTTCTGCATTTGATCACTGCTTTTTCTTGTTACCCTAAATGACACAGAAAATTGAGGGGCAGATTCTCAGCCTCTACTTTTGAGTCTATTCTTATCCCCAGTTGGGCAAAAGGGAAAATGACATCTGAGGAAGCTCATTAGAAGTAGAAAATGAAACTATTCTATATGTAGTGAAATCCCACCCAGCACAAACATCCATAGACCAAGTGCGGCTCCCTTTTGCCAACCATCTCCACAGCCTGCTTCTGTAAACAGCTAATAAAGCCGCCTGGGGACAGACATTTGCCTCCTTTCACTTCAGTCCTCCTTTGTAAACTCCATCACAATGGAGACTCACAGCAGTCTCCTGCCTCAACCTCCTACCAGGTGTACTGGTGATAAGCATCTGGAAGGTTTGGGCCACAGCCTAAGTAAGGGTCTCCTTACATTTCCAGCAAGCACTGCTTGGCTGGGCACGCTGTCCCTCAGGACTCCAGTATATTCAATAGGACAGCTGCTTCAGTGTGACAAGAAGACAGAATGTTTTATAAAATTTTCACCCTATGTTCCTGAGCCTTGGCTAATGCTGACATCCAGTTAGGGATGAGCACCAAGTCTCTCATTCTCAGCACTGAGACCAGTTCTGCATCTGCACTGACTGCTGCCCACTGACCAAGGCTGACAGCAGCCGAATAGCTCCTACTCGGCATAAACATGTGGGAGGCAATTTGACAACATGCCTATTTAGTAAAATAACAATACTCTAGGGCCAACGACCTCCACTGTTAAGGACTTTTGACTAGGATTTCAATATTGGGCAAGAATCTCATCCTGTGGAGCAGGTCTCATACCCAATCAGAGACTAGATAGCTACCCTATATAGTTGTCTCAGTCTTGCTGCAAGAAGCACAGCTTGCCTGGCAGGTTCGTATTGCGGCATGTGAGGTTCAGAACTAGGTAAGACCATTGATGTCTCTTCTCTCCCAGCAGACTGCACAGCATCTTCTGACACTATGAAGCCTAGCCAGCAGGGAGGAAGTTTCCTGTTGATTTCAAACACTTCTCTATGTCTGGAAGCCAAGTGTATGGTATATGGTGTCTTCAACAATAGAATCTTGCCATGCATTTATGGTCGGTAACCAAGTATGATGGCAATAGCAATAGGCTTTGTTGTCTTTGAGACTTATCAGGCTTCTTGAGCAATAACTCATAGGAAGATATCCAATTTTTATTGAAAAGCTCACATCTTCTGGGAGCAGCACTGACCTCCTCTGCAGGGCATCTCCATTAGAGAGGAAGTAACAGTCAGAGGGCAAGAGTGAGGCCTGTGACATGCTGTCTTCTGCACGTGACATCACCACTACCGCCATGAGCTCACAGCTGCTGTGGCTACCCACACGAGATCGAGCAAGCCAAAGTCTTGGCATGGATGAGGCAGATGGTCTCTAGGCCCCGTGGCGCACTGAAGAGCTATTGGTAGTAGACAGTTGATGGGAAAGGGAGACTCATTCTTTGTTGAAAATGTGGTAACTGGTGGGTGTGTCCCTATCCCAGTGAATTATGCACATGAGAGCAACTCTAAATTATTTTAAATTATAAATTTAAAATTATAAATTATTTTAAAAAGTAGTAAGTGTTTGGGGGGTAGGTAGGGGGATATAGATAGATCTGTGTACAAGAACAACGACTTCAAATATTAAAAAATTATTCCATTAGAGAGCTAGATGGCTTAGCAGGTTAGTACACTTGCCACTGAGTCTGATGACCTGAGCTCGATCCCCAGAATCCATATGATGGAAGGAGAGAAACAGCTCTTGAAGGTGGTCTTCTGACCTCCACACATGCACAACATGTGATCATGCACGTGAACTTTCATATGTACATGTGCTGCACACATGCATGCACTCACATATACACAGAACTGAATGCAGATTAAATTTTTTCAAGATATGCTTTAATTACCAGCTATATATAAAGCATTGTACTGTGGATATAAAAATATTAACCAGACCCTCCCTGCTTATTTTACTGACAAAGTAAAGCTGGGCAATAACAGCTGTGTAGCCCTTGTTTAGCATGTAGGAAATATGCAGTTGTTACTTCCGTTACAGTTAACTCAGGGTCTTACCTCAAGAGACCGCACTGCAGGCTGTGGGTGTGGCTTAAGACTGGCCTGTAAAGACTTCTCTGCAGCTTCTATGTCCTACAACAGACACCAGCATTTAAAACAAGTGTGTTTACATTCAATATAAATGGCACCCACACCCCCAATGTCTGTACCCCAAATCTTTCACCTTAGCCCTTCTCTGGATACACAGTGAGTTTATCCAGTGATGGAGGGACACAGAAGGAAGAGACCTGATTACAGAGCAGTTAACCCACTTCCACCAAGAGCGCAGGGTATCTTATGTAGCACGGGAGCACTGGTAGTACTTCTGTGTTCTACCCTTTTACTTTGAGTAGCTGGTAAACACCTGTTATTACTTGGAGGGAAAAACCATGCTTCCTTTAAAAATGCTCAGAGTTGGGTGTGGTGAAGCATGCCGTCACCCCAGATCATGGGAGGGAAGGCAATGGCAGGAGGGCTGAGTTCAAGGCCAATCTCCACTGCTTAAGGAGACCCTGAGACAAAAATCAGCACACAAAAAAATGATCAGAGCATGAGTTACATTAGTTTTAAGATCACCTGAAAACAGGCCAAGTGATAAAATAAGGGCACGCTGAGACAAAACTGGATACTCGGACTCAGCTATGCAGTAAAGGGTTTAGTTTCTGCAGAGGATGTGGCTAACATATTAATGGCACATTATCAACATTCTGTTTTAGAATGTTATGCCATGGAAATATTTCACATAGCTAAGGCTGATCAATGAGTTACTTTACTACTTTCTAATGGGGCTGTTAAAATATGCCATCACACATTTAACCTTTTGACATTTTGAAGCAACACTATCACCTACAAAGGCCATTTTTGAGAACTACATAGTCAAGTTACCTGACTCTCATCTCATGATGCTTTAAAAGTTTCCAACTCTGTGTTGGGAGATATCACAGTTATCCTTGGCCATGTGCAGTCCTCAGGCTGTGAGCATCTACTTGTCTTTAGTACTGGATTTTAACGCTAATTTAAATGGGAAGTGTCATTGCCAGGCAGTACATTGCTTTGTGGATGACATTCACCAATGGGAAGTGTCATTGCTAGGCAGTACATCACTCAGAGAATAGCATTCAAGAACTACACTTAAATTGCAGTTTAATTTCAAGATGAGTATATTTTCTTCTATGGTTGTAAAGACAGCAGGGCAATTAAGCTTAACCTGGTATAATTTTTCTTTCCTACACACCTTAAACACATGCAAAGAAATGTAGGGTTCTGCATGTTGTTATAGAAACATTTGAGTCTGGTTACTGCTTTTCAAACCAGCACCACTGCTGTCTAGAGCACACTTACTATTCTAAGTTCACAGAGGTCTGGGAGCAAGGCTTGGCACACTCTGTGTCTCCTTTGAGCTGAGTGAATTGCTTGCTAGCAAAAAGTTCTCCAGATCCATGTACACGCATCAGAGCAATCTAAGTAGAGGGCTGTTGGACAGACGGAGAGAAATGGAAGAGGGCGTGGGAGTGGGGTGTGAAGAAGCCAATGCTGAACAGGAGAAAAGGATAGCAGATGGTAGCGGCGGGAGCAAGGAATGGGTGTGAAATGCAAAAAGAAAAACAGGAAATTCCCTAAAGGGACTCCCCAAAGTTGCACAACCATTAATGCACCTGCTGTCTAGGGGAAGGTGATTTGAAGGAAAAATACACAATTTAGGGCTACAAAAGCTGATGTCAGCATGTCTATCCCTTACCAGAAGCTTACAGCTAAGACACATGCTGGAGACACATGCTGCCGCCATGACAGCACAGAAGACCGGCTCCTCGTGGATGTGCACTGAGATTTTACAAGGTTTGTGAAAGTTGTATTAGTAAAATAAAACAGAAAATAATCATTCCTCCGGTTCTGCTAGGACTCCTAGAACAGGTGCACTGTTCCTGTCAGTGACAGATCTGTGTGACACTCAGCTTTGATATTATCAAGGTTTTTCCTAAAGACAGAAAGCAGGGACACTGAGTATCTCTTGCAGAGAAGTAGATATGCAAACAGAAGTGCAGCTGTCAGCAGAGGGAGATCCTGTGGCATTCACCCCATACCACATCACTGCATGCTGCCTTAGCCCCAGTGACTTGAGGCTCCTAGGTGCTCTGCTGACTTCTCGTCGGCTGCCTTGGTGTTTACTTTCTTAACATGTGTGACAACTTACTTCCCTTGTTTACTCTGTCTTCCTTCGTGCCTGCATTACACAGCTTCAACCACTACTGCAGAGGGGGGCTAGGCCTCTACCGAGCCATTCACTTCTCTACTGGGTAAAGCCCCTTGCTGAGTGGCACTGGGGTCTCAAAGGCCAGGTGGCCCTGGTGTACCCTCCACACTAACGCTACCTGATGCCTTGCTCGCAGGAACACAAAGCTCCCTAGACTGTTCTTTCAGGAAGATGTTCATTGTCTCCACTTGATGCCCAGAGTCATGGTCTTATTACTAATTTATTCATTCAAGTGTTCACCAAGTACTTGCTTTGACACGTGCCAAGAGAATATTTTATTTTATTTTGTAACTGTCCTAAGATTGATCTGTTGGTTAAACAACCACTTGAAATTTATCCTCATATACCTTAGATTCAAAATCAGCTCAGTAAACAGGATGAAGGATGACTTCCCTTTGCCAGACTGGAGTAAACCAAACGGAACAAAAATGCCACGATTTGATTAGCACATTCTGCAACAAGCTATATCCTGATATTTCTATATGAGGCCTCCTGACAGCTGTATACATGGCCAGAGGTGTATACTATGTCACATGAAACTTTTCTGTGCCTCATTACAGGTGTGCAAATATAAGGGAGAACAGTATACACTGCGTCTGGCATTATCCGTGGCTTCAGATAGCTGCTGGGAAGTCTTGGACCTCCCCCCCCCCCAAGACCAGGGAGACTGCTGCACACAGGTGCGCTGGTGCTGGGAGCTCCTGGGGACTAAGCATTTGGGTTTTTAAAACAAAGTCTCACTCTGTGGCTCAGGTTTGTCTCAAACTCACAGCAGCCCTGTTCCAGCCTCCCAAGTACTGGGATTACAGGCACGAGATGTCATACTTAGTTCAGGACTGAGGTTTTGAGATAAGGGGGAAAAGTTAGGACACAGAACCAATGGTTTTAACTTAAAAGCATTGCAATCCTTTGACTGAATTGAAATTACTGATAGGAACTCTTGTTGTATCTTATCTTAAAAAGGAAAATCAAAGAGGCTGCAATAAATAGCCCCAGTGCCCAGATTGAGCGCTCTGAATATATTTCCTGCCAAAAGGAGCCAAAGCTCCTTGAAGCAATGACCAACTCCAAGTCTGGATGGCAAATACAAGAAGGCTGCAAGAACCCTCCAGGTCAGGAAGAAAGGAAACTATAGAAGACTGTTACTATATTGGCGAAGGCATTCAGGGCTAACTTGGAGAGGTTTCCATTTGGTAAGAATGGCATAATCTAAGTATAAAAAGACACAAAGAACTGAAATATTTCAAATCTCAGAAAATTAAAAGCAAAGCAACATCTCGTAAGTCACCCTGGAGGAATGGTGGGAAACTGGCCTGTTTTAAAAACGAAGTGCAGGGGCTGGAGAGATGGCTCAGTGCTTTGGTTCCTAGCACCTAAATCAGGTACCTCACAAGTGCCTGTAAATCCAGCTCCAGAGTGAAGATGCCCCCTTCTGGCCTCAACAAGCACCTGCACTCATGTGCACAGCACATAACCAACCTTTTAAAAAAAGAAATAACAAAACAGGGCAGAAAATGTGGCTCAGCAATTGCCTAACATGTACAAGGACTTAGATTTGATTCCCATCTCTATAAAACAAAAACATCTAAACCCATAAAAGCAATCACATATTCAGTATCCTGTTTCCTATATTAACTATCTGTAACTAGGTAACGGAAGGGCAGCAGATTCTCTTTAAACCAATAAAAACCACACGTGAGATAGAATAAAATAACTGGAACACAAATTTGAGTTTTTCTTTCTAAGATAAAGTACTGCTGTGTTACCTTGGCTAGCCTAAACTTGCTTCATTGGTGAGACTGGCTTAGAATTTGAAGCAACTCTGTGCTGGTACCTCTGAAGGCTGAAATTATAGCCATGAGCTATAGATATAGCCTTTAGAATACGTCCAGCCAGTGATCAGGAATGCTGAAGTGATCTTGCCTCAAATACCACACTCAAATGTGATGGGGTTTCTAGATTTCCACTCTTAGCACTATAGCCATTAATCTAACTGACCAGAGCTTAAACTGTGCTGGTTGTTGAGTTGTGATGTACTTAAGTACAAAATGCATACCAAATTTTGAAGGTTGGTAAAAAAAAAAAAAACTTTTGAAAGCAAAGGTTTGTGATATTTTACAAGTACTAAAAAAATAACAACTCTCATTTTTGATTTTTACGGTACTGTGGACGGCGCCCAGGGCCTGGTGCACGCCAGGCTCAGCTGTTTCTCCTATCTTCATCAAAAGTACTTGTCATTGGCCATCCGGGTAACAGTCTGCTGAAGTTCCTGCTTAATTGCAACTGCCCCATGATGGCAGTAGAGGCTCTCATTCTATTCCTGACTGTAATGTTTTCCTATCCTACTCTGTCCTTCAGGGCCTGGACAACTTCTGAAAGCACAGGATGGTCTTTCTGTGGAAGGTTGAGTTTTCTGAGAGGGGAGGCGGAAGTGTATTTTATAACACAGAAGTATTTACACAAACAAAGTCCTCCCTCTCCTCCAAATGCACACCAATCATGCTTATTTTTAAGGCTGGTATTCTATTGAATAGTAGTCAGGAAAAGTCACTCTGCCTGCATTTTCCAAGTCCACAATCTTTTGTGGCATTTACTGACTGAAATTTGACCCAGAACTGTCTTCCTTCACATGCACTTCATTTACTGAGATGTCAAATATTTCATGGATTAGTTGTTTCTTTATGCCTCCTTTAAAAAAATTCTCCAGCATTTGATACTGCTTTTTGAAAAAGTTTTAAAGTTAGCACACAAGACAATGTGTTAGGGCATTTCCACACATACAGGGCACATACATGTCTTTCTTCATCTCTTCCCTGTGTTCTCTTCCTTCCCCCTTGTTGGCCCCACTTCTGTTTTCATATTGCCTGTTTGTGATAGCTTATTTCTCCCAAATGACTTGACATAAATGTTACCAAATTCACTGCAAATTTTGTAGAGATCAAAATACATATGTAAATAACTTTGTGATAAGTGACTATAAGTAAACAAGAGTTTCCCCAGTGAGATGAGGTCTTCTTAAATTTTCTCTTGAATACCACATTTTAGTGTAATATCTTCATACTATCATGAGTAGCAGGGAAGAATTCCCAAGTGGCTTAGAATTGTATTGCAAATGTAAATCTGAATTCGTGCATTTTCATGCTTTTTCAAAAGAGGCTGATCCCTTGTTAATGTTCATTACACCAGTCAGAAGACCAAAGGAAGACGAAATCAGACAGTAGGAGGGGTCAGGCTTGTGTTAGTATGCTTTTGGTAGAGCCGCCTGTAAGCTTTGGGTACCGCCAAGGTGCCTGCCCTAGAGATAACCTACCCTGTTCCTGACAAAGTACTGGAAGTAGTTACACTATGGTTTACCACTCTAAACACCTGGGCCTGACTAGCAGTTTTTATAGTTTGAGAGCAGGCCTTGGGGACCATGGAAAGGCCGAATGGGAGAGGGAGGGCAGGCCAAGCTCACTTTTATCTAATTTTTAAACCTCGGAAAAACATTTAATGGTAAAAGGAATGTTAGACCTTTCAATGAGAATCTAATGTAATATACATGCTATTTAATATCTTTCCCATAAACTGGGCCTGGTGGCACAGGACTGTAATCCCAGCTACACAGGAGACTGAGGCAGGAGGATTACTTTTCACACATTTATTGTCTATCTAGGCAACAGAGTAAGTTTAAGAGCAGTCTAAGAAACTTAGACTCTATTTCAAAATGAGAAGTAGGTCAGTGGATGACTCAGTGGGTAAAAGCACTTGTGGCTGAGTCTGACAGCCTGAGTCACACCCAGAATCCACACAGAGGACAGAGAAAATTTTCCCACAAACTATCATCTGATTGTCTTAAGAATATGTGGCACCCCACCCAATATATAAATAAAAAGGAAAATAACAGTTGGGGCTATAGTTCAGCAGTGGAATGCTTGCTTAGCACGTGTAAAAGATCCTGGATTTTATCCCCACTCTCCCAGCCCTCAACCCCTATACACACACGAGCTCTCTTGGGAAATGGGAAGCAGTTCTCGGATAGTGTGTGTTTAACATCTATGATGGCCTGGGTTTATTCTCAAGCACTCTGTCTCCCCCGAGAAAATCTCTCAACACGATATTCCACAGTAATCAAATTCTATTTATCTTACTTTTATACACTGATTCCTATATTAATACCATTAATACTGTTTTGGAATTTTAAACCATGAAAGCAACACAGGATTTAAAAATGCATATGTGATTAAAGCATATAAAATAAAGGCAGGACACAAAGCATGTCTAGCAGCAGTCACCATGGCTGGGATGCAGCAACTGCTTAAAAACTGAGTAGGGCGTTATGAAGACGGGCGTGCTGTCCTTTCTTCTCTTCACGATGACGGTCAGGGAAAAAACCAGCATACTAAACTCATTTCTTTCAGTTATGAAAACCAGTGCATTCCCTTACTTATCCACTTGTGAGGGATTATACCCATGGACCCATGATTTTCAAATCAACTCAGAATTAATTTAACACATCCAATTTGTAGAACTTTATAAAATGGAAACTGAACTTTATATAAAACTGAGTTTTACATAAATATTAAAAAAGTAAGGAAACTGTCTTGATGACTATTTTTTCAGCTTCTCTCCTTACCTCTACTAGTGTCAAGAATAGTTTATTTATTTAAAACTTAATTTTTAGGTGTATATGTGTGTGATTGAGTGTCTGACTATGTGTGCAAGAACTCACTGGGGTCAGAAGAGGCGTCAGTCAGATCAGGTGTTCCCTGAAACTGGAGTCACGATGGTTGTAAGCCACCATGTGGGTACTGAGGATCGAACCTGGTCCTCTAGAAGAGCAGCTTGTGCCCCTAACCATTGAGCCTTCTCTCCAGCCTATTTCCCTATTCTTGAAACATCTAAGTAGAAGATCAGTCTTTCTTAAATGTGTGTGCGTGCATGTGTGTGTGTGTGTGTGTGTGTGCATGCATACATGTGCATGCATATTAACCAGGTCTCTCCTATCATGTGGGTCCCGGGCATCCAACTAGGTCATCAGGCTTAGTGGCGAGTGCCTCTGCCTGCAGAGCCATCTTACCAGCCCGTTTATTTCTTCTGTAAATCTGTGTTCTTCTTGAACTTAGATATTTCTAGGACTACATCACAGTTATATACTGAGCCTTATGTTCTCTGGTTCCTGTATCAATTACTGTTCCTGTTGCTGAGACGAAACACTGTGACGGAAACAGCTAAGGAAGCATTTATTCTGGCTCATGGTTCCGGAGGAGTAAGAGTCCACCACGGAGGGGAGGCATGGCAGCGGCCAGAGCAGGGAGCTTAGAGATTACACAGCAACTGCACACAGGAAGCACAGGGTGAAAACTGAAAGTGAGGTCGTCAACTTTTAAAGTCCATCCCCAGTGACAGACTTCCTCCAGCTGCAGCTCCTAAAGGTCCCAAAATCTCCCCCAAAGATCACCACTAACTAGAGACCAAGTGGTCAAATACATGAGCCTCTGAGAGGCATTGTCTATTCAAACCAGTACAGTCTCTGACATGCCCAACTTTGTCTCCTGTGAATTCTTAAGCTTGTTAGATCATAATCCCGCTAACGTCACTAGGGCCGTTCGTCTTTCTGTTCTTGACTGCTTTTATTTAAGAATCCAGTAAAGCATCTTAACTATTTAACACAGACGAGGTTTGGCTCATCTCAGAAGTCTCTATGAACATCTTTACATCAGTTCTGTCTCTTAATTAGGTCTAATATTCAGAACATAGAAATCATACCAAATCATAAATCCATGCAAAATATCTTTGGAAAGGTGGGGAAACCTCCATCCTAAAGAGACTCTCAAGCACCTTTTTACCCTGAATCTTCACAGTCTCTGGTCTATCCCGTGTAGTTCAGTATGCGATCACAGAAAGGGCCCGTCTTCTGTCACGAGGAGCTCACACAGTTCGGCCAGCATCTAGGCTGGAGCCTTCCTGAACAAACCCTCCATTTATTCTGACTTTGTCATCTCTACTGTAGCTCTAGGCACTCATCAGATGCTCACTCATTAAAAGGAAAATACTTGAAAACCAAATATCACATCACTTGCTACAGGTAGTAGCAATCAAGTCTTCCAATTTAGTTTCTCTAACTTTTCACAGCAATTTCCAGAATACCCTATATATTTCCATTTAAAAATAAATATTGTTAACACCATTGGGCAAGTAAGACATATGGCAATATAGAATGCTTTGGTAGCACTATGGCTGTGACTTAAATTACTGTGGATCAAACTGCCAGAAGCTGAGAAGATAACTGAATTTTCCTCTCCCTTTATCCTGTAGTGAGGATAGAAGATAGCTGTATCATGCCTATCGATGAAAATATTTAACAATAAAAAACTGAAAACACTGCTTTATAACTTAAATAATATAGTCTTACTACCAAATGTTTTAGTCATAGGATCTCTTGGAAGCTTGAATGGAAGCAAACTCTAGGGTTTTAATTATGGATGAAGCCACACAATTCTGGAAGCACAGTATAGCAAGCAGCCAAAAATGTTACACATATGATTTTATTCCAAATGGGCACATTGGCCAAATGGTGAGGCCCTGCACAATCATCCACTTTGACCACCTACTCCATAACTATCCTAAGGAGTCTGCGAAGTGAGCTCTCACACAAAGAATTCTGTGGAATTAGTTGGGCAAAATCAAGCGGTTCATGTTTCCATGCTGTTTAGTATTTGAGTTGGATCTAAACACATCACAGCTTAAGGTCTTTGGGGTCCTTCCTTGAAGTGGAAGAATATGGAAAATGTAAGGATACACTTTCTGCTTCTTCTTGCACAAAGGTGACCTTAATATTCTTCCTGTCGTCATTGATTTTTTGGTTGACAGAAAATATTTAGCTTATGTAAACTTCAATTTTTTTCATTTTTAAAAAGCAAGAATCCATATGCTATTTGCCCAACTAACACAGGCTTGAAAAAGACATCGGCTCATTAAGTCTGCTTGTTACTAAAAACAAAGAAATGATGTGAATCTAAATCATAAGATGCATTGTAAATACCTCAGGAAAGGGAAGACATCTATACCCGTCATGGAAATTACCTGCAAGAGACTGAGGTTCCTCTTTAGAGCAGTCTCAGTGGCTTGGAGGAGACATGCCCTGCCTGTGTTTTGATCACCAAAATTATTCCTCATTTTCTGAAGTAACATTAATCTTCGTGATACTCTGAAAAAGAAATGGAGATTATATAGAGGAAAAAATTGAAAAGCAAACATTGTATTGCTTGACCAGTATATAAAATTTCTTTCTTAATTGTATCTCACCTCAACTATGACCATGATTGACAGCCAATTATTTTATCAACTAATGGAACAATAAAAAAAATAGTTTACTATGCCTTAAGTCAATCTGGATAAAATTATTTTTATTTTTATTAACATATACTTCTTATATGTCATAAGTACAAGCCTTTCTTTTTTAGCCTCCGCGGTCTTTTGAAAGTATTTTAGAGTGTTGAAGACATGTAATTTTTGGTGAAAATGCAAACTGTAATACATAGCTCCTTGTACACATAGTTATATATACCTCCCCACACATATACATTGCTATAACTTGCTATAGGAAACCTTCTGCTTAACACTTCAGTACCCCTGAATCTCATGTTACACATTTAGAATTGTGCTAAACTTCCATATGTTTGAAGAAGCAATAAAAATATTTTTTATCTCTTTTTCCAAGAGAAAGATGATGGTTTGATATATGAGTGAGAGGCAGTATGTATGGACGCCTGCATGCTCACAAGGTGAACCAATGCCTGAAGAAAGATGGAAAGTTATGAGTAAATTGTTTAGCTACCTCATTATATATAATACACTTGAAAAGTTTCTTGTTCATTTTATAAGTTTTTGGGTCCTCTAAATGATAAGAAATCATGTACAATGATTAAAAACACATAAGTGGTATACAGAGAAATAATAAGTCATGAAGGTTGTCAAAGAACACTGTTTCATGGGGCTATCTTGAATGTAGAACTAAAAACCGAGGTTGATGAACATTCACTTTATTTTTGTTTTTATGAGAATAGTTTATTAGAACAGCAAAGGGCAGGACTTGGTAATTAGACAACAGAAAAATCTGAAAGCTCACAGATATATGAAGATTAATAATAAGATCATGGCTATCTATACAATATGCTGGACCAAGTGAAAAATGATTAGACTATGACATCAGAACATTAGAGAGAATGCAGGGACTGTGGCTGTACAAGTCATGCTCCATGAACATAATGCCAGCCCAGGATAAGAGGCCTCAAGTCTATTGAAAGCCAAGCTTGGAGCTGGAGAGATTGCTCTTGCTTTTCTAGAGGACTTGCGTTTAGTTCTCAGCACCCACATCAAGCAGTAAACACCTGCCTGTAGCTCTTAGCTCCAGGGGTTCTGATGCCCTCTCACTCTCTTCTGAGCCCCGTGTATTCACACATGTATAATTACACACTACACACACACACACACACACACACACAGAGAGAGAGAGAGAGATAGAGAGAGAAAATTTCAAGTAATAAACTTTAAAATTTTTTTTATTTAAAAAAAAAAGATTCAAGTACGGTGGTAAGTACCCTTATTCCAAGCACTCAGAAGACACAGAATGATCAGGGTTCAAGATCAGTTTTAATTGTATAGCAAGTTCAAGACCAGTCTGGGCCACATGAGACCCTTTCTTGAGAGCCCCTGCCATCAAAAACGTTCTATTGTGAAGCACAGAATGGGCGAATTTTGATATTAGTTTTTTTTTAAAGTAAGTAGATATACAGACATATAAAATATAATTGTGCCTTTTAGTCTTAAGAGACAATGCAATTATCTCCAATAAAGCCTGTCAGAAAATGATACTTTAACATGTCTTCCTGTGCATGTCTCACTAGTAAAGCCAGCACACGCTCCATATTTAGAGTACCTTTTTCAAAAACTTACATTTCTTCATGCCTTTTAGAAAGGTGGATTTCTTGAGTGAACAAGGAAGTCATCTTTAATCAAAGCTGGGCTATAAGCTTTCTGCTAAATAATAAAAACAGTTATTTTTTTCCCCCTATGTTAAACTCTACAATTTGATCACTTTAGTGCTGCGACAACTCATTGATTCTCTCAGAAGAGAAAACTGGCCATTTCATGTACAATGGGAAAGAATGCACGCAAACCCATTTGTATTAATGATTTTTTTTTTTTTGCTTTGTTCTTTGCATTTGCCAGATTCGCCCCAAATACCACGGATCAGGTAAACTCAACACACTTCGTATTTTCTACCTCCACCCAAACTCTAACCTTGAAGAGAACTGAAACAAAAAAGAGTTGGTATAAGACTGGTGTACATTTTAACAGGCAGAAAGAAAAAAAAACTATATAAAAATTCAAAACAGGAATATCACCATCCCTTGGGCATGTGCGCAGAGACGGTGAGAAAGACAATCAAGTATGAGAACCAACTGGAAATCCATGGTCTTTCCTTCCCTGGCAGACTGCCCAGGTCTACCATCACTCTTCCAAACAAGGGAAGTGTTTTCCATGTGTAACTCGGGAAAATCTCAATGCAGTCCCCTCAGTGTAGCCTGGCAGGTAGGAACTCTCGTTTGGAGAGTTTAGAAACTCTTTTCGAGGGCACACTTTACACCGGGTGCAGCGTTACCTCGGCTCAAGACCTTGCATCGAAAAGCACAAAAAGCTAAAGGTGCCCCACCTGAGGGAGGAAACTACAGTCAAGACGTTCACAGAAGGCGGCTTTCCTAAAATTTCTGAAATTAAACATTCATTCCCTGAAGCGCCTCGGGTCGGATGCAGCCGGGCAGCCTGAGCGGGACCGCACACGGGAAAACTCGGCCTTTGGAAGCAAGGCGCCCGACGGCCGGCCCAGCTCGCGCCTGTCTCCCCGGGAAAACGCCTGAGACCCTGCCTCATCACCTGGCTCTCCCCTGAACAGTGTCCTCCACCTCGGCCCGCCGGCCCCACAACCCACAGGCCGCGGCCACCCCGCGCCCACCGCCGAGCTCTTCCGGGAAGGCGCCGCGAACCACGCCTGCGCAGGGCCTGGGTGTGGCCAGGCGGCCAGCGTCCCGCCCTTTCCGCTGTGACGTCAGCCGCTCTGGCTCGGTGGAAGGTAGCCCGAGGGGGCCTCAGGGGCCTGAAAGGAGAGCAGCTGATAGCTCAAGCTTTTTAAAAAGTGGGATCAACCCATGTTAAACAGTCGTCAGGGAATCCGGATGGGACCCTGGGATGCTCCCGTAGTGTGTGAAATGTGTGTGTGTGTGTGTGTGTGTGGTGTTGGCACGATATGCCATAGTAAGTCTAGGTGCCCTTAGAGGCCAGAAGACAGCTTCAGATACCCATGGAGATCTGTTTGGATGTTGTGATGGGAACTCTGATCCTCTGAAAAATCAGCCAGCGCTCATAACTCCTGAGCCGTCTCTCCAGCACCACCACCAACATTTTTTGTCTTAGATTTGCTATTGTGTATTTTCTAACTGAATGGATTTGTAATTCTTTTGCTTGCTGCATTTCATCTGGCTTCAAAGCACCATGCCTTTACTTGACAGATCTGTTTAGCTGATAAACTTCACACCCTTCCCCTTGAATGATCTGGTGTTCTGGGCTCACCTATGAATGAGTAGAGCCTTGGTTACTTGTTTAGTTGATCACAATGCTTTCTTGTTTGTGTTGTAGGATTTATAAATTTTTTATTTAGATGTGTTTTGGACCGCATGACTATTCAAATGTTTTCATGTTGCTTATGACAAACTTTATGTACCGTCATGCCTTGGTTACGTTTGCATAGGAACACAACTGGGAGAAGCCCACATACAATTTTTTTGTTCAGTGCCACACCTCTTCAGGTCATTGTCTGCCTTAATGTTAAACTAAGGGATAGTTTGGAAAACCTGCAATTTTTAGGGAACTAGAAACCAATAATATATCTCAGCAACTTAAAGATAGGTAGATGTACTCTGGCCCTTTATAGCAGCCGAGAGAAGTGCTTTCCCTCTGCTCAAATAGCAGCTATGATAGCTCCTCTAGTATGGCAAAGCACATGGGTGGCCCTTTCCAGGAGACAACTAATTGGTGAGGACAAACCTCTAGCAACTGCCCAGAGGGTATCGATTCATATACAGCTTCTGTGTTTGATTAGGCGAGTGTGGTTTGTGGAGCGAAACACTCAGCTTTACCCTGCAAATCGGTGTGGTCTTCTAAATTAGCAGCTGGCCCATTGCAGGGTACTCTGGACATATGTAGAGCAGGTAATGTTCCCTAGTGCTGATTCGTGCGCCAGTTTAGTGCAATTATTGCCTTAGTCTCACTGTATAGGGACTGCCTTTTGGGAAAGAAAAATGTGTGTATCTGCGGCGGCCCCAGAGGGCATCAGATCCCCTGGAGCTGGAGTGATAGGTGGTTGTGAGTGGGTACTGGGAACCGATCTTGCATCTTCTGGAAGTGCAGCAAGCACCTTAGCCACCGAGCCATGTCCCCGGCTCCAGGAGTATTACCTTTTAAGTAGTACATTCTGTAAAGGTGTATGTAATGCAGCATACTATGCCTTTAAGAGCCTACTGACCAGCTGAGCCCTCAATGTATGCGCAAACAATGCCAGAGGATGGCAGCTGGCAACAGAAAATGACTAATATTTGTTATTACTCATTCTGTTCTGGGCATTTGGCATGAATTCCACCTAATCTTTTTTGTTGTTTGTTTTTGTTTGTTTGTTTGTTTGTTGTTGTTGTTGTGTTCTGAAACTCGCTTTTGTAGACCAGGCTTTCCTCGAACTCACAGAGATCTGCCTGCCTCTGCCTCCCAAGTGCTGGGATTATAGGCGTGCGCTGCCACCACACCCGGCAAGTTCCACCCAACCTTAAACAAGTATAGGTAGTGAACTCACACTTATGGCTGAAGAAATTAATACTTGGAGAAATTACTGACTTGTGGTCACACTCATTGCAAATGAGTATCAGCTTGTTTGATAGAAATTTCCCATGAACTAAGATTTATTTTTCTAATGAAATAAGTAAAACATTTGAGCAGTTGCTGATATTATTCAGGGGTTACAAGGACGTTGGAAATTCCTTGCTTTTCCTCATGGTCACAAGATGGCTTTCGTAGTCACTTTTGGCAATTACGGCACAGGATCAGTTGGCTCTTGTGACTTTTGGGTCCGTGGCAAAATAGTAGATCATGATAAGAACGTATGGCAGAGAAAGCTGGTCTATGGAACCATGATTTACACCGAGGCTATATAACTATGAGAATCACGTGGACGGATGGCATGGCTGGTCATAGATGAGAGAGTGCATTGAGCTGATTAGTCTGGATAGCATTTTGGAAAAGAAGCGTGTCTCCGAGATGGAATGTTTCAGGCGGTGAGAGGTACAGTGGTCGTGTTGGATTTTCTGGGGGAAGGGAAGAATTTTCAGAGAAGTATGGTGTGTGTGTGTGTGCACATTGAAAAGAATTTTGTCACCTAATTTCTACCAACCTAGGAGATCGTATTTCCAGTGCTAGGGAATTTCAAACAGAGGCTTGACAGTAATACAAGATTATATACAGGATTATTAGAGAAGGAGGGTCTAATGAGCAGAGGGTAGGAATGAGAACAAGGAAGACTCGATGAAATGGCAAAGTAAGAAATTTATGAAAAAATGGAAGAATCCTTGAATATTTCCAATACTCTAAAAAACCAACAATAAATTCTGTCATATACTGTAGAGCTCTTTTCAGACATCCCTTGAATGTATCATAGTTAGGCAATGTTTAGAAAATTAAAGAAATCATGACTTAAATGAGGTTGACTTTTCTTCTTTCACAAATTTGTTAAAATGGGTTTAAATATCTGTTTTTATTCCATTAAATAGAATCCTTAGAATTACTTCACCTGTTCTGTTCTCCTACTTTGTCTGTTTTACCACCGAAGATATTTTACACCCAAAATATATACAAAAACGCTTTGAATTGTCTCCTGATGGATTTTGACCATATAAAAGAAGTTTATATGCACATATCTTTTTAGAAGCTCTTACTGGTGAATCCAGCATGTATCTAGGTTCAATCAGACAAAATGCTACAATGGAGAAATCATTATCACACCTGGGACCTGTGCTGTGGACATCCTGGACCGAGATGATGTCTTCTTGCTCCTAGAATCATGTTTAACTCCAGAGTTGTCCAGTGACAGTTTGTATATGCCCTCTTGTTCCTGGGAAATGGAATTTAAAATCTTACCGGTTCTCAAACTGATTGGAGAAAGGATTAGGGTTTTTACATTTAATGCATATATGACGATTCTTAGTGAATCATTTATGTATTGTATACTTGTTAAATATGTATGCATCTCACTTCCCAGATCCATTCATGTAAAGCTCACACAATCTGCCCGTCTTATTCTGATAGCCTTCTAGCTGTCTATCGTCTATAAACATTTTCCAGCCCTGGGTCCTTGATTTCTCATTGCCCTCTGATACATATCTGTTAGTCTATGAAATGCTTGATATGGGATTTTCTTTAAGTAGGCCTTTTTTCCTTTTTTAAAAAATTATTTATTTTAATTTTATGAGTACAGATAGATGTTTTGTCCACATGTATGTCTGTGTGAGGGCATCAGATCCCCTGGAACTGGAGTTATAGACAGTTGTAAACTGCCATGTGGATGCTGGAAATTGAACCCAGGTCCTCTGGGAAAGCAGTCTTTGTTCTTAACTGCTAAGCCATCTCTCCAGCCCTAAACGGGTGTTTTCTACTCACGGCCTTCCTGCCTATTTCTTGGAGTTTTTTCTCTCGTACAGCCCTGTGATGGCTTTATCATTAGTTCTCCCTTGAGCGGGTAGCTGAGAACCCCTTAACTGGTACTTGAAGAGTTGGTGAGCATTGTCGTCTGCCTTTCACAGGCTTTTGTAATATGCAGTTACGTTTTATAAAACCGTTCAAGGTTCTGTGTACCTGGAAAGTTTTCTTAAACAGTATTACTTGTCATATTTATCCACTCAAAAATTTTCCTCAAACGATAAAAACACAGGAATTGCAATTGTACTGCTTTTTTGTTTATTTATGATCTAATGATACAGTAAGAATTTGTCTGAAAGGCTGTTGTAGCTTGATAAATTTTGGGGTGGGGGGAACCTATGTTCTTTATTTGTATGAAAATAAATGTTTTGCCTAACTGAAGATTTCATGTGAATATACTCCCTCTTTTGCTGGACATTGAGTTTTACTTTCAAATCTGATTTTACTTATAAGTGTTTCCTTTTATCTTTTTCTTTCCTATAAATACTTTTGAAGTGAATGTTACAAGTGGTTTAATCTTATCAGCTCATCAAATTTTGTTATAAATGTCACTCAACATAAAAGTATTAAATTAAGTAGGGACTTAGTTAATTTTTTCATCATTGTATTTAGTGTGTGTATGGGGGGGCCTATGTGTGTGGCATATGTGTGTGGGTAGAGGATGACTTTCAATTTTGTTTTTTCTTTCCATTATTTGAGTCTTGGGGATTGAACTCGGGTCACCAAGTTTGGCAGCAAGTAAATTTACTCATTGAGCCATATTGCAAGCCCCTAATTTTTATAATTGTATTTTCAGAGATTAAAATAGAATAAAATAAAATTTTAATATCTTTATTTGAGTCTGGTTTTCTTAAATTCTGAGACCAGGGAAGTTGGAGGCAATAGAAAGAGACTATAACATACCTATGTTTTGATATGTTGCCCTGGGTCCAAATATATATCAGGTTGCTTATCCAAAAGTTTATACAACAAATCATAGAATATTTGTTAGATTAAATGTAAATCTCATCTATTAGTCTCCCTATGCTGCCTGCAACAGGTGGGAATGCTTGCCATGATTGACAAGTTGGATAATTAGTTATCTCTTGAAAATCTGGAGTCTGGGTATTTGCTCAACATGAAACGGGCT